CGAGCCCGGGGGAGCGGATGCCCGGGGTCTGTCCGGGCCCAGAGGGGTTGTGCAGGACCCCCGGGGGATGTGGGCGGCTCTGTCCCGCCGGCTGCCCGAGGTCTCCGGATCCCTTCCTCCCGCCGCCCGGGGTAACCAGCCTCGCTCCTGCGCTGCCATTCACAGCCTGCAAAGCCGTCTGTTTCAGAGTCCGGTGAGGCGACCGTCCCACAGCCCGCACCTACTCTGTACCATACACGATGCCAGGCACTTTACACATGGTCTGTAAACCAAACTTCATTTTACAATCTGGTAAACTGAGGCCCGGAGCAGCTAATTGACCCGGCCAGCTAATTGACTCAGCAAAACTGAGAACTGTGGGGGAGGAAACTACAACACGAGAAGGAAATTTATTCAGATCAACAGCCTCCCTGCTAGGGTGGATGAGATAAAAGGAAGAGAGGAGGAAGAAACTGAGGCGGTGGAGAGGGTGCCATGGGGGGGTGGTCCTCGGGGAATCCTTGGGAAAGACAACCTAAGGGGCCCAACCAGAGGCGGCACTTCCATCACCACCCCAGCCCCGCCTCTCCTCTCTCCTTTCCTCCTCCTCTACTCCTTTGCTCGCCTGGCTGCCACGTTCCGGACTTACATAACCCGAGAAGGAAAGCCAGAGCCCATACCCAGTGGGCTGGAGCTAGGGCTGGGGAAGGGCCGAGGCCACCACAAGGCCCTGCCCTCCTTCCTCCATCTTTTCACCCCTACCCCCACCAGGGTCTGCATCCTTGGGTCTCTATTCACCCTTTCATTCAGGGGTTCCAGAGCACACGACCATTCCCACCCTCCCCCCTGGGCCCCCCTCTCAATCCAGCAAGCCAGGTGGCCTTTCCAAAAGGAAAAACAAAACTCTTTGGCCAGTGCTTCACCTTTGCTGCCATCCCCACCAACACTGGCTTCCCCAGAGCTGCTCTGGGGAAATCAAAATCTAAAAACTGACCAGAGCCCTCCAACTTCCTCATTCCCTGGCTCAAGCTCTGCCCCTCATCCAAGGCTTAAATACTACCTCTTTACCCCTCCAGGGTGGGCTGAAGTCTCTACTTCAGACATCCAATATGCTGTCACTCTAATAAACCTGCCTCAGTGTCTCTGGGTCTGGCATCCACTATACAGGATCTGGTGTCTTCCTTGCCTGACACTAGCTTAGTTCTTTTCTCTATCCTGCTTACCTTCTCTCACTTAAAAGTTTTTCTCCTAAAAGCACTACTTCAGTAAATATGTACACATGAATCCTCTTGTGCTCTATTTTTGTTTTTTGGGGGGTTTGGTACCGGGGATCAAATTAAAAATTCAGGACCTTGTGCTTGTGAGGCAGGTGGCAGCATCACTGAGCTAAATCCCCAGCCCTCTCATGTTCTGTTTTTAGGAATTATGACCCAGCAATTAGGCACAGGGCCTGGCACATAGGAAGTACTTGATTATTGTTAAATAAAAAATAAATTCTGACGCCGCCTGCCTCACAAGCACAAGGTCCCAAGTTTGATCCCTGGTACCAAAATAAGTAAGTAAGTAAATAAATAAATAAATTCTGAGGAATTTACAAATAAACCCAGGACACAGTAAATCATTAGGAGCATTAGTCAACCCCCCCCCAATTACCCAATCTCTTGCAATATGGAGTCACCTCATTTTGGTGGCATCATCAGGACATGACCCTCGGTTCCGTATGTGGAGGATGCAATTTTGTGGATGATTTCAACAATAGGCAATTAAACCTTAATGCTAATTTGCTCCTTTACAAAGAAATTAGAATTTAGGGGGTAAAAAACACAAACTAGTATCCTCTATAATACCCTATCCCTTTTAGACAAATCCATCAAACGCCCAGTTGCTAGATAAGCAAAAAGAGCCAGAAGAAGGGCAATCTGAATGGTTCCAAGGGCAGGTGGCCGTGGCTCTGATCTGTCAAGCCCATCACCACCAAAGATGTCAAGGCCACTAGGCCTGAGTCTTTGGGCAGAGCCTGCTGGAGGCATCCTAATTTTTAGTCTATCTTCTCTTCTTGTAGGGAATTTATGACCACTATCTCTCCTGTCCCCACCTCACTCAGTTTGCCTTCTAAGTATGATATGGAAACAAAGATTTCTACTCTTCCTTCTCAAGTCTGTACACCAAGATGTGCTAGAATATCTGTAGCTGCCACCTACTCACAGATTATTGGTGGAGACAGGTCTTTTTCCAAGTGCCCAATTCCTTTATCACTTATTCATTTCATTCTCAGAAAGTCTTAACCTCTCTGCTATGTTGTAGCCCTCTTAGATTTACAGCATTTATCCCATTTCTGAAACCCCAGCATCCAGAACACTTCCCACAAACTATGATACTTGGAACAGCTCAACAGATCCTTCTTGCCTCATCCCCACTTGGCAGGTCATGTGAGAGCCCAGCCCCAGAAAGTATTAGGCTGTACCTTGGCAGAACCCACCTCTGCATTCCAGGGCTGCAGTCTGAAACCTCCAAGAGTCCACAAGCGTCACCCCACTTTCAGAGAACAATGGGCATGGAGGGGTTGAATGACTCATGGGCACATGGCTCTGGAAATCCACAGGAAGAAGAAAGCAGTTGCTGTTCCCTTGGACAGCAGCCTAAATAGTGATAGCTCTAAAATGCCTTCCTCACAATCCACAGTCCCATGGGAGAGCCCTAGGACAGAGAATTAGCAAAAGCTTTTGTTCTCAGATATCACTAACTTGCTGGCTAGGCTCTACATAGACCACCAGTACCTATATAGCCAGACCAGCTGTAGTCCCCTACATACTTGAGAGCCCTACCTGGCAAGAGGTCACGATACCCCAGCTGTCTTGTCCCAGAATGGCTGACCAAAGGAGCAGGAAGTGAGAAGAGTTTGGGGGGTTGGGCATGTGGGAAGAGAGAGATTCCCAAAGATCCCAATTCTCTACCATCTGAGGTCACTGTCCAGTGTCTGCCAGGGCCCCATCCTCCCTACCCCAATCCACTTCCCCAACTAGAGTGACTTCCCATCACCTCCACATTCCTCCATGACCTGGCTCTGTTTTCCCAGGCCCAAAGCCCTTGCAGATCCAATCCCTGCCAGGGACCTAGATGCTGGGGAGGGATTGGGTAGGTCAGTGCACCCATGAATATTCCCACTGGGATTGTGTCCTAGGACTAGGGGCACTTGGGCTGACAACTGGAGCAATGCCTGGACTAGCCCTGCTGCTACTGCTTTTACTGATCAGCTTCCTCGCCTTTGACCTGCTCCACAGGTAAGTGGACAGCAGCCTGGCAGGTGGGCAATGTAAGGAAGCAGGCCTGTGGCCACTTTCTACAAGCCTAGCTGCCACCATCCCCCTCTCCTCACAGGCCTGCAGGTCCCACCCTGCTGCAACACAGACTTCTGACAAGGGGCCAGAGTCAGGGGGCCGGTGAGGATCCAGGACAGCAGGCAGCTCCCCTCTTCCCAACAGGGGTCATACCAGGACAGCCCAGCCTTCAGGATGCACTGCTCCTGCTACTCCTGGGACTGTGACTGCTCTTGGGAGCCCAGGGCATAATCCTGGCCCTGCTGGGCCTGGCTTTCTGCCTTCATCCTTGGGCCTGAGAGTCTTCCCAAAACATCGAGTGCTGCCCCCTCTCCAATACACTGGCCACTCTACTTCCCCAGGCCTCTTTTCCTCCATCCTGGGTGGGGCAGGCCTGAACCTCAGGCTCCATAATACAGACAGTGAAAGTTTGGGGCAGCAAAAGAAGGCAGGAATTAGGTAGAGAGCCCAAGGCAGAACATGGCAGCCATCCCAGTGGCTGCACGTTGGGGGCAGCCATTCGGGTTCTAGAAAATGAGGGTTCAGAAAGAAAGACATGTAAAAATAGGCTGGGGCTGGCATCAGTATCAAAGAGCAGATAGGACTGGGGGAGAAACATCTGTGGGGCTCCTCAGGATCCCCTACTGGCCTAGAGGGTCTATTGAGAGGGACTCAGGAGCCTCAGAAGAGCAATAGTTTCTTTTTTCATTGGACCCCACCCCAGCCCAGGTCACAATGGGACTCCTCTGGGGAGGGTGGGGGTGAGTGAGAGTGGTGGCTCAGGTCCAGCTGCCAGGCAGTCCTGGACATGGCAGGAAACAGCATGACTTAGGTAGCTTTATACAAAGGTAAGTCCTGGACCCCAGCTCAAAGCCCCACCTGCCCAGGCTGGTGTTCTCCAGACCCCACACCTTCACTTGGCCTGAGGTCCCAGGCATTTCCAGGGCTGCTCCTGTAGCTGGCCTGACCCTATCCACAGGTGCACCAGCCGTGATGCAGCAGCCTCAAATGGAGATGGATGCCAGTGGGGCTGGTGAGGGGCCACAGCAGGCAGTGCCCTGGTCAGCCTGGCTCACCCGGCAGGACTGGATGCGCTGGTGTGCTCGCCGTGTGCCCCAGAGCTGGGCCCAGTGGTGGGCCACAACTGCCTGGAGGCAGCCACTGCAGCGGGTGCTTTGGAGCCTGGAGGGGTTTCTCTACCTGCTGCTGGCCCTGATGCTGTGCCACGCACTCTTCACCACCGGCTCCCACCTGCTGAGCTCCCTGTGGCCCGTGGTGGCTGCAGTGTGGCACCATCTGCTGCCAGCTATCCTGTTATTGGTGCTCAGTGCCCTACCTGCCCTACTCTTCACTGCCTCCTTCCTGCTGCTCTTCTCCACACTGCTGAGCCTCGTGGGCCTCCTCACCTCCATGAATCACCCAGGCTACGCTCAGGACTTGAACGAATAGAAGCAACCCCATTCCACTGCCTGTGTCTGTTGAGCCCTGGACCAGAGCCTGAGCCTAAGGGAAAAGGGGGGGCAGTGGGGCCCCATCCCAAGATGAGGTCTGTGTGGTTGCTGGAGCCAGCAGGGAGAGTGGTCTGGCCTTGTCTTAGGACCCTTTCTCAAGCTGATGCTGAAGTTAACGGGTGTGAGGAACCAATATAGAGGTAGGACAGATGGCTTAGCCAGGAGCAGAGCTTGGCCAAGTCCCTGAGAGTGCCTGTGTGGATGTGGGGACACCCACAGGGGCTCCAGTGGCAGCTGGCAGCGTCTTTTTGTGACAGCCACCCAGCAGTCTCAGCTTCAGACTCACTGGTACTCCTGGACTTGTCCCTTGTCCATCCAATCCCCTTTCCACTCCCAGGAGGACCACAGGCTCTAGAAAGGGTCCCAGGGACAGAAACCTAGCCAGGTAAGCACTGTCAAAAGCCCTGGAAACAATACCTCACTTACATCCTGACCTATCTACTAGGACATCTCTTCTCCCTATATGTCCTACCTCTTGATTCAGTCCACAACTCCAAGTCTGGGAAAGAGAACAACCAAGGGCAGTGAGTTTCACTTTTTGTGGGGGTGAGGGGGGAGCCCAAAGCCTGGCCCATGCACAGTATACTCTACCATTAAGCTATACCCTCAGCCCCTAACTACTCAATCCCCATGTCTTTTATGGAAAAACTTACAAGCCCCATTTCAGCTACCTATATAATGTATGGCCTTGGCCAGTAATTCATTCTTTTAAGTCTCAGTGTTGAGCGGGTCCCTACAATGCCACAGGATTACTGGGAATCAAAGGCAAAACCCATTTGCAAAGTACTTTGTAAATGCCAAAAAGACTGTTAAAATGTTGTTTGGAACTCTAAGAATATTCTCTAAGCTTAAAAATCTTTTGACCCAGAAAGCCAATAAAAGAGCAGGAAGCTTCCCTAGGCTTCCAGAAACAGAATGTTGGCCCTAAAACAGTAAACAGAGGGTGGGTGCTGTGGACAACATGTAAAAGGTCTTGTGTAGTGAAATCTCAAAATGTGCACATGCTGAACTCTTCTGATTGTGAAATCATTGGGGCTGAGGCTTGATGCCAACAGATGCTTGTACAGCTGTGCTGTGTGGGAAAAGCATAATTCAGGGATTCCAAAATCACTGCAACAAGCTGTTTGTAGCCCAGAAGAGCTTTGGAAGGTGGCATCCCTGATACTCCAGATTCTGGTCATTTGCACATAGATGGCCCCTCCAAACAAAATGTCACATGATCAGTTATTACCAAGTAAAATGTGTGATAGACAATTTACCCACAGCTAGGGCCTTCCCACCTATTATCCTTATCCATTCCTGGCTCTCTCCAACTCCTGCCTGGTCCTGACCCCCAATGTGTATCTAACACTAAAATTTTTGCTTCTGAAGCTCTAGACCCAAGGCCCCTTCCTCCTGCCACCTAAATAGTCAGGCCCTAGAACCCAACTCCTAGAAACATGTTTTTTGCCCAAACCCATTTGCTTTAGCCCTGGTTGGACACCTTCAGTTCGGTGCCTGACACCCCAAAACTAGTCCTTCCCGTTTCTTTGTAGTTCTCCCTCCAATATGTCCTGATAGTGAAGGCAAGACAGGACATGGAGGTGGTATAGTTTTATGGTTATCATGATATACTTGCTGGGGCTGAGTCTAAACCCCAGAGCTGTCACTTTCTAGTTCCCTGGTCTTGGTAAAAAATTCTAAACCTTCCTGAACCTCATTTTCCTCATGAGTAAAACAAAGAAAAAGATACCTGCCTTTGGCTCTCATGGAGCTCCTGACATCCAGGTAAAGTGCCTGGACTGACTCCTGGACTAGCTCTACAAATTATAATACACTGTTACTACCGCATTTTAGAGATCAGAAGTCAGACAGTATACCCACTTCTCAGGGGCAAGGCCAGGCTATCTGGATCCCAGTCCCTCTAAGAGGCTACTAAAGGGAAAGGCCATGGGGGCTGGAGGAAAGACAACAACCTAAATGAAGACTATAGCTTTTCTTATTCTCAAAACTCCTGCCAGAGATTAGACCCAGGCCTAGGCAGGTCAGGAGTCAAACCAGTCTAGATGTCTTTTGCACTGAGGCTTATGTGGTGGAGGGAGACAAGGATACTTGCCTGGATCCTTCACTGAATTGACCATGCATGGTTAGCCAGTATCGTCACTCTGGAGACTTGGAGTCATTCTCATCAAGGGAGACAGGAAGTTTGGGCCCAGACTACATGCACTAGGGAACAGGATATGGGCAGGAGCAAGAAAAAGGCCTCCTTCCCACATGTAAATATCTACCTTACACCCTCCTGCTGCTCCTGTGTAGGGAAGGGGTACAGCTAGCCTTCTTCCCCAAAATGTGGTCCCAGACCAGTGGTACAGACATCCCCAGGGACTTGTTTAGAAAGGTACTCTCAGCCAGGTGTGGTGGCACAGGCCTATATTCCCAGCACTTGAAAGGCTAACACCTGTCTCAAAAAAAGAAAAGAAAAGGCCAGGGATTTAGCTTAGTGGTGCTGCACCTGCCTTGCAAGCACAAAGTCCTGGGTTCAATCCAGTATT